CTAAGATAATATTTTAAATCTGTTGTTAATAAAGGCATTGATAGACCCCAAATAAACCCATAAGCCAAAATTCATTGTTTCATTTTATAAATAATGAATAAACACAAGTATACCTTATGAGTATTGGGAGAAAAGAGTATATGGTGAGCAAAAACAGATATATCTTCTGCTTTTATTCGGCTTACATATATTTTAGATAGCTTATACTCGAACTTTGCTTTCAAGTACTTTAAAAATACATCCCTTTCTTACATTGTATGTATACAAAATAGCTTTTCTATGATCAAACAACAGAAGAGTAACTCAACTAGGAACCAAAAGGCTGGGTGAGCTCTTATACCTGCTCTATCTGAACTTGCTATGTGACCTTGAGTCACTTCCCCTATTTTTTAAGTTTCTCATGTGTGTGAACGCACGCGCATACGTGTGCCCACGTACATGTGATACATAGTATTAAAACAGCACCAAAATTTCTTCTGGTTCAGAAATTGATTCAACCTTCTCACCTTGATTATTTCCACCAATTGATCCACCCCACTGTCCCCTGGAAATATTGGTTGTCCTAGCAACAGCTCAGCCAACACACAGCCAGCAGACCATACGTCTGAAGAGAAAAGAAAACAGAGGCTTATTAATACTTTGTTGCTTGAGTGAAAAATATTTGTATAAATTTTCTAATTTTACTTTTATCACAGAGTAAATATCACAAGGAAAAGAATGCATAACAGAGAAAAAAGTCATAAAACTTCCCTAATGCATTTTTAAATTAAATGTTAAACTTACTAAAGAGAAAACAAGGGCAATAGAAGTACTCTAATAAGGGGTAAAGTCTATTATTATCAAACATCAGATATTCAACTCTTCAAATAACAAGACAGAGGATTACAGCACCAAAGTTATGGCATGACTATCTACTTATAATACTTAAAAACTAAGTCAAAGCAACAATCTCTGCATATTAGTAGGTGCTTACAGAGAAGCAGCAAGGATTCAATCTCCCATAGACACTGGGATTTAAGCTAATGCAAATTCTGAGGAAAATTTTTAAGATTTTAAATGGCGGACTTTTATGCTGTAAGTTGAGTAACCGAAAAATGTGCTTAGATGTATGGTAATTTTTAAATGCAAAGGAATGGCAAATATAGAGGAACATATTTTATTTCATAAACTATAAAATAATTCACTCTG